ATAATGTTGGAAAATAAAGATCCAGCGATTAAGCTCTTCGGTATGAAAATTCCTCTTTCAAAAGTTGTCGACGCTGCAGAAGAAGAAGAAGATGTAATATTTGCGGAGAAGGTACAAATTCTGAAACTTTATTACAAAGAGAAAAAAAAAAAAAAGTTTTTGTGTTCACTTGGAAAAAAAAAAAGAAGAGTTTTTGTATTAATGATCTGATCTGATATTAGTAAAGTTTTATTTTTTAAATTTGGCTCTTCTGATAGTAAAGTTAAAACTGAAAAGTGGGGTTCCTGAGTTTTTGTTCATTTTACCATTAATGGGAAAGTTTAGGTTTCAATATCCTTCGTATATTTTTATCCATTTTCATGAATTGGTAAAATCTTGTACTACTTTTTAATACTCCTAAAATCCTATGTCTCTGACATCTCTGCTCTGCCTCTGTGTTTTGGTGAATTCGAGGTAGTAGTAAATTTATTTTGATGACTTTTCATGAAACGAAAAGCAACTTTTGTTTCTCCATAAAATAATCGTATTTTATCAAAAAGTATTTGCTTTTTTTCGTTTAATCAAATCAATAAAGGTGAGAGGGTTTTCTGGTAAAGCGTGTTCTCAAAAGACTTTTTTCTCCACCAAATTTTTTATCTAGAACCTTCTTCTTGAAATACTCATAATTTAATATTCATTTCTTTCTAATTACTAGTATATTGCTTAATAAACTCATACCAAAAAAAAAATATGCTTAATAAATTAATCCTTCTTTTACCTCAGAGTAACAAAGAGATGAAGAACCAAAACGAGACATTAACTGATCAATCGGAGAAAGACAAAACCCTAAAGAAACCAACCAAGATTCTTCCATGTCCAAGATGCAACAGTATGGAGACAAAATTCTGTTACTACAACAACTACAACGTAAACCAACCTCGCCATTTTTGCAAAGCTTGTCAGAGATATTGGACCTCTGGTGGTACCATGAGAAGTGTTCCCATAGGAGCCGGTCGACGCAAGAACAAGAGCAACTCATCGTCTTCTGCACATTACCACCACGTCACCATCTCCGAAACAAACGGTCCGGTCTTTAGTTTCAACCTCGGAGATGATCAAAAGGTCTCGAGTAATACGTTCGTGAATCCGAAGCTAGTGGCTCGGACAGAGAACAATGTTGATAGCTCTAATAACAATAAAATGAACGGTTTGGATTGCTTTCCGGGAGTTTCTTGGCCGTACACGTGGAATCCCGGTTTTTACCCGGTTTACCCATATTGGAACATTCCAATGTTGTTGTCTTCTTCGCCTAGTTCGAGTCCTAATTACTCTCCAACAACTACTCTTGGTAAGCATTCGAGAGACGAGGACGAGACGATGCAGCGAAAACAGAGGAATGGTAATGTATTGGTTCCAAAGACTTTGAGAATTGATGATCCTAATGAAGCTGCAAAGAGTTCTATATGGACAACACTTGGGATCAAGAACGAAGTTATGTTCAATGGGTTTGATTCCAAGAAAGAGGTTAAGATTAACAAAGAAGAATCAGAGACTTCTCTTGTTCTTTGTGCAAATCCAGCTGCGTTATCAAGATCAGTCAATTTTCATGAGCAGATGTGATTGTATGTATACGATATGTACCTTTTATGTATAGATGTGGCTTACATGGATTTCACCGTCTTTTTATTCCATAGGCGTTAACAGTTTTTGTACCGTTTACTTTTTAGTCTTTTAGGGTTGCTTTTGTTGTAAGAATAAATAACGGTGAAGAAAAGTTCGTTTTGACCATTATTCACATTCATTTTGATAGTATGAGAGATCAGTAGAAATGTATATGAAATATGTGTGATTAATTGATTCCAAAATATATGAGACATGAGTG